TTAACTTGTTGTGACCATAAGATGCACCGAAGCTGCAGCAATTGTGAATCGTTTTCACTATCTTTACAACCACCTCCTTCGCGATTAGTAATCGTTTAGGAGCATTCCTGCGTTTACCATTCGGCAAGAGTATGTGTAGAATGACGATATTGGCCTTATATAGTAATGCTCTTATCCAAAAACCAGAGTGTATCGATAGCAGCAGCGTTGACTTGCCCTTGTTCTTCGATAGAGGAACGGTACGAGCTGGTAGCTATTAAGTATGTTACATTTGAGCATAATAGGGCCAACAATTGTATTATAAATTGACTTTCTACCTTGACGGATGCCAACGTCTATCTCGCTTGCTGCTGTCGAGCCTCTTCCGTTCTACTAGGACGTGGGACATTATTTTTCCAAATATCTAAGGCATCTATTTTCTTTTACTAATTGACTGAAGTATTATTTTAATTTCCCCATAAGTTATGATGTCTGCTTGGTAGCCGTCTTACTTTTTCTCAGCTTAAAGCTAAAACACCATATTGATTTAATTAATATGGCCACATTCGTATATTGGTTTCAGCAACATATTTAGTGCTCATTAAAAAGGTTTAACAAACAATATAAATTTATTTGTATCGGATCATTCGGCACGTGCCTAAATGAATGTTAAAAATTCTGGCAGACCGCTCGTCTCCGATTAAATTAGTATAGCAAATTTGCTACTTTTTCGCAAATTAAGCTATAGTCGTAACATTAAAGAAATCCGGTATCATCGCTACCACACTGTATTTGTTTTTATACAATTATTGCTCATCTTTATAAAATAATTAGTTAAGATGTCTAGTCGCAGCCTAATTTCCTGTATGAAGTCTGCACGCATATATAATTTACATCTTCCATGAAATTTATAAAGACTTTATACAAAATAAGGCATTCTGACGTGCTTTCTATATGTCCGGGACCGCTTCCGGGAACCTACTATTTAACCAAATGAATATGCAATGACTACATATAACGTCCATTTCCATATTTGCATTCTTATTTTTGCATTCTTAGCTACCCTAATATTAACTTATAGCGTTCCATGATGATTAGCCACATATTTCTAATCACCATTTTGCTTTTTATAATCACGTTATCGCAAATTTAAATATTATTTTTGTATGGGATACCTTAACCAATGAATACGGAACATAGAAACGCACACCGTCAATCGGTTAGTCAATGGGTCTCATCAGTCGGCCGAAAACGGTGTGCTGTATCATTTTAACTATTTGCACGTATTCTATTGAATCTCCACCATATGGCAAAGTCACAGAGTGTTTTGCGACTTGAAATGGTTTTATGGAGGTGCAATTTTGAACCTAAATGCTTTCCCTTACTCTTCGCAAATAGTTCAACCAATTTGTTAGTGCAGCGTCGGAGTAATGCAAATTTAGTATTGTTCCAGCTGGAGAATTTGTCCCACTCTACCCTGTCAAAACTCTTGAAAGCCCCAGATGCGCCAGGATTCGAAATACATGTAAAATTGATGAGTACGCTAAAGTAGACATAGTTGTTTCGTTGTGTATTTAATGTGATAGCCATATCGGCGACCCCGATAGCTGTCGCATGACTGAGCGTGCCATAAATCTCTGTTAGACCTCAAAATGCCTAGCATCAGTCGCGATAGTGTTTACTGAATGACATTGCTTGTAGATTTGCGCAGCTTCTTCTCAGCTCACATTGACATTTCTATAAAGTTTGCTGGAAATAAACATGAATGAGAGGCTATTAAAGTCTATTATAAAAGTTTTTATGCACCAATGTCTATCAAACAGGCATATTTTGAGTTTTTTTCACCAATTAAGCCAACAAGTTAGTGTACCCTTTGTACTGACCACAATTCTCACGTAAATAATGGTATCCTGGCTCAATTTCTTTCACCGGTAGCACTCGGTAATAAATGTCATGTTAAAAGGATCAGATTGCTATCAGTCGGTCGTTTCATAAGCCCGCCACCGCGCCTATTGCGATTTCAATGCGTTGAGGTTGTAATATATCACACATCGTTTGCTAGAAAAGAGTGAAGTCGTCAAACACTAAAAATGAGTGCGTTAGCTCTTACATTCTGGCGCGATTATCATCTATGTCGATGGCTCATGCTGTAGTGCTGTACTAAACATTTTCACCACTTATGGTATGGAAGTGATACAAGCAGACAGTTCTGCGAAAAATACCAACCTCTTTGGGTTTATCTGGTATCAGATAGTTCGCAAAAGATGCGGCTAGTACACCGATTTATACGCGTCATATTCAGTCAACAAACTATTCGTCAAATTAGTAAATGGTATAAATTTATAACGAAACTCTCATTTCACCGTAAAGTACGCCTTACGAGAGTCTAACAACAAATATAACGTCATTGATCGGCTTTTCTTTAACCTTCGTCTTGCTATGATGCCGTCATAAAATGAGCAATCATCATCCATATAGATTTCAACACTTACGGTCCGGTCAAAACCTGGTTGCGCATAGCTGATAACCCTGAGTGACGAAACTTGTAGCCGGAATGCTAGCACCTTCGTAAAGACTACGTAGCTTCTTCACGATACGCTTTCTAACTTAGATCGATTCCGTCGTAGAACTCGCGTTTTTTTTGAAACAATATCGTTTGATGATAAGGAGATTTCTGTCTACTCCTATTTTAATGCTGATAATGACCAGAGCTTTATACATGCGTGCTCACGTATACGTGACGAAAGACATTAACAAGCGATGCAGTTTTGTCTAATTTAATAATTCCAAGACCGGTGGGACCTATCAGCATCATTATATTTGTATTCAAACTCCCTAGACGCGTTAATCGTCAATATGTAGGTCGTGCTCCGAAAGTATGGACCTATACGCTCACAACTTCAAATTTATTCGATGTTACAAATTGTTGTGGCGACTCTACCATAGCAATGGCGTTTTTTACAACGCGATTGAATTTGCTATCGACCTGTATGCTATAGCGTCGGACCGTAGAGCGCCCACGGATAATTTTGTGTTGATCCTGTCTTACAAGAGCGATACTTTTGTGGAAAAACGGAGACGACGTTAAGTACACAACCAGATGTGCAGTACTTAATATTCCGCACCTTCTATTGTGGATGATGCACATTGCCTTTGTGCTAATATTACCCACTTATTACGATAAAGTAGCTTCGCAAAATAGTATTTCACTTCTTTTGCCGTTTCCGCATCACATTCAGTTATGTCTCCTCCTTGCGATATGGGTAACCAGGGGATGAGAGGGCAGACAAATTGCCTTCTTCACGTCCATTGTCTCTAAAATGACGTCTAGAAAAAAATGCGTCTGCTTCGAACGAATAAGATATGAATAGTGCTTCCGCTGCTTTTCTAGGCAAGTAAAGCGTCTTAACATATATACATCGCAAAATATTATCGTATTCTGAGCACTAGGACGGGTTAGGTGTGATACAAAAGGATGTATGTATCCCATCAATGTTGAGCGTTAAACTATTTAGGTCTGCCAAACGTTTCGGAGGTCCGAAACATGTAGTAATGACTCGTAATGGGCCTATTATCCCTAGCATGTTCCTTATTAATTACGTTCTAGACTTATCAGATGACTAGCTATTTGTGGGCAGTGTAGAAAGAGCTGCGGTGACTGAAACATATAAATATTTCGATCAGGACAGTTCTTCGGAAAGGCTTGTTTCAGACGTAGGAGCCGGCACGAAATATTTTGCTTACCTTTATAAGTTGTTGCGCAATATAATGTTATGTAATTTGAATTGCGCTAACCTACGATATGTCTCCTTTCTGTTTTACACGCTACTGCGGCATATAAGATATGCATGCCCCTCTAGCCTTCGACGAGCCCACACTTCGTAGGAAATCGGCGCGTGTCCAGATTGATCTGCCTGGATGCACTTTCCAGCCGCCCCAAATACAGACAGTTATTTAAAGGAGACTAGTGAACACTAGTCTCTGGTAAAAGTAAAACTATTATCTAACACAATGAATACCTATAAATCTTATGTCTCTGTTTATCCCGACTTAATCATATTAATCTAACTAAACGTATGATGACGTCTACTCACCACCTATTGCGCGCGTCTAGCAGAGATTGGTGGGTTGATATCATCACGATAACAACCAATAAGTAGACCCTTCGGTCATCTTCAACAATATCATCATGCTCTGTGATATTGTTAAAAGAAAATATTTAACGTAATATTCTCAATTGTCATTTCATCCTTAGTGAATATTGTAAGGCCACATAGGGTCGGCATCTCCAGCTCACCTCTTTGGAAGAGCTGACTCTTTGTAAAAGAAAAGCAGCCAGTCATTGGACCGGAGCGTACGAGGCATCTTGTGTGGTCAGCCGCTTGTACGGAAGTGCGAATCTATAGCCCCGACCCAAGACGCCGTCATCGCGGTGACGCAGATTGCTTCATTTTTCCAAGATGACGTCAAAGCAGAAGTACTACTTTGGTAATGAATGCATAAATCAATGGATAGGATCTATCCTGCTGGCATTTTGAGTAAGAAAAACGACGTTATCTGTCAGGAATGCTCACCACGTAACCGCAAAGCGGCTAACGTTACGAAAGCTTGAAATATTTTGACTTACATCGGTGGCTAAGCACGAACATTGACGGCCTCACGTCGTCGTGCAATAAGCTATACAGTTCGCGCCTAAATCCGCCAATATACTCTCACACTTCGGGATCTCGTCGTTCCTACAGCAGAAATCGAAATAATGTCCTTGTCAGGACAGTTTTCCCGATTTCTGCATTCTTAACCTGGCTCAGATGTTTTCAGACGCTTTCTACCTTTCGCATGTCAGCAGATTGCCATGATATTTATCCTGGAAAACATTTGTCTCCAGCAAAATCAACGCATCATCTCAACTTCTTTGGATGCACGTCATTTGTCTCAGTCTATCGCGCCGTGTCAAAAGCCCAACTAGGATATAAAATGTATGCTTGCTGCATCTTGTGTCGACTTCTAAATTGCGTTTGCCTCTACGATCGTTTTTTCTTCGCCGCGCGCTTCTTCGCTTTCTGAATACCATCGTCCTCACTCACCTTTGCAACACGATCCGTCGAGGTGTCATTAGCTGCAACCGTAGCAGCCTTACGAGCGTCTTTAACACCCTCACAAAGATAGGTCTCTAGTGTGAGGACAGTGTCCTCCAGCTGCTTCGGCGTATGCAACGCCGAAATAAAAAAGCGCAGACGACACTTGCCCTCCTCAACTGCTGGGTACACAATGGGTTTCACATTGACCCCGTGCATGGCTAGAAACTCGGACGCCTTTGCAGTTGCAATGGTGCTGCCAATCATCACTACAACCACTGGCGCACCGCGGAAAGTGTTTTCACCCATTGGGATCATGTGCATCTTGCACAAGTCGTAGAATTTCTTACTGCGCTCCTGCAACGTAATCGTGCGCGATGGGGTCTCCGTCATCAACCGGATGGATCGCAAGGCGGCCGACCCACATGCAGGGGCCAAGCCAACCGAAAACACAAAACCGCCAGCACAATGCTTCAGATACTTGATCAGTGTTTGCGATCCTAGAATGAAGCCTCCAACCGAGCCCAAAGCCTTGCTCATTGTACCCATACGCACGTCAACGTCCTTCGGATCGACATTCAAATGCTCGCAAATGCCACGCCCCGTAGCCCCCATTGTGCCAAAAGAGTGTGCTTCGTCGAGAAACAGCAAAGCCTTGTACTTCTTCTTGATGCGGATCATCTCATGCACGTCCGGTATGTCGCCGTCCATGCTGTACACACCTTCGATCACGATGAGCACGCGACGGTACTTTGTACGCAGCTTCGATAGCATACGCTCTAGCGCTTTGGTGTCATTGTGGGGAAATGGCAAGATGGTGGCGCCGCTGAGGCGTTGCCCGCTAACACACGAGTCGTGGTTAAGCGCATCACACAGAATCAAATCACCCTTGGACACAAGTGCATCAATTGTTGTGACGTTAGCCACCCATCCCCCGACAAATAGGATGCTAGCCTCTGCGTTGAAAAAAGTACTAAGTGCCTCCTCCAAGTCCACGTTCACTTGCGTCTGACCGACTATGGGAGACGAGCTCATTGTCGTGCCATATTCGTCAATTCCGGCTTTTGAAGCAGCTGCTACTCCAGGATCTGATGCATTGCCCAGGTAATTGTAAGTATTAAAATTGGTCATACGACGCTTCGCAGGCGTTAGCGTCTCCAAAAAAGGCACACACAACCCTGCTTCTTCAAACTGTTTCATTTGTCCAAAGAGCTGTTGGACCTCTGGAAACTTGTCAATCTCAAAAAAGCTTGCGTCAATCTCTCCCATCGTCGTTGCAGGCTGCAGCGATTCCACGCTATTTAGACGGTCATCTACCTGGTCGCCGGCTAAGTCACCAGACGCCAGTCCAGGGGCATTAGCAAGCTTAAATGGAGTATCATACTGAAAAAATGCAGACGGGGGAACGATGCACCCAAGGTATTCTCCCAGATCCGACGACAAACCAACGATTGCCACCGAATCCATTCCACACATCGCCCAAGGAGTGTTAGCGTCAATGACCACAGACACACTCGCAATTAACCCAGCACCATCTGTTGTCGGCAATTTCGTCTCCTGCGCCAAAGCATCCAGCAACCATGCAAGAATTTCATCAGGCGTCTTAAACAATTGTTCAGATGACGCTACTTCTTTCGTGGGCTTATCTGGTACGGAGGAAGACGACGCAAGTAAGTTGCCAGTCGTTGCCCTATACTCAAACAACGGCTTCATCAGTGTGCCATTTAAGAATTGCGTCTTTGAAGCGCTGCGCTGAATTTTACCGCTTGTGGTCTTAGCGATTGTCTTTTGGCGGAGCAGCACGATAGCTTCGCACTTCAATTGATGCTCCGACAGCACCGCCGTCACAATGTCACGGCAAACTACCTCAAGCGTCTGTTGCGAAGACCCATTCTTCACCTCCGCAACTACCACAAGCGCCTCTTCTTCACCTTTTTCGACCGAAAAAGCAGCAGTGCAGCCCGGACGAACATACGGGTGAGAGTTTTCGATAGATGCCTCAACATCTTGCGGGCACACGTTGCGGCCTCGAATTATTATTAAATCCTTGAGACGCCCAGTCACGAAGAGCTCACCATTCGAGAGAAAACCCATATCACCAGAGCGCAGGTACGTGTCATTTAAACTTTTCATGCCAGCAAGCCGCGCACGAAACACCTCTTTAGAAGTGTCGGGACGATTCCAGTAGCCGACAGCAACCGATGGTCCCTGTATCCAGATCTCGCCGACCTGCATCTCGTCAAGCGGCTTTTTTGTAATCGGGTCGACAATCAATATCTTGAAGGTCGGCATGGCCTTTCCACAGCCTACGAGCTGTATAACATTCGTGGCGGTACGACTGTTTCTCTTCTTACCGCCCAACGGAACAGCTCGATGTTGTGTCTCCAACACGCGCTTATTGAGATCCAGTAGCGTTGGCTTCTGAGGTTGCTCATAACCAGTACATACCAAAGTCACTTCTGCCAGACCATAGCCACAATTAAACGTGTCCATGTCAAAGCCAGCAGCTTTGAACTTAGATGCGAATGCTTCCAGCGACTCGCGACGAATTGGCTCGGCTGCGCAAATGGTGCATTTGAGCGAACTCAAGTCCATTTCTACTGTCTGCTTGTCACTCGTCTTCCTAGCCGCAAGGGCAAAGCCAAAGTTCGGTGCACACACGTGCGTAGCCTTATACTTGCTAGCTGTGCGCATCCAGAGCGACGGGTCCTTGATAAAGCTAATTGGCGACATACTCACGCATCTCGCACCCCTGACGCACGGTGCAATGATAAACCCGACCAACCCCATGTCGTGATAGCTTGGTAGCCAGCTCACCATGATGTCCGTCGGCACGATGCTTTCCCATGTCTTGAGCTGCGCTTTCAGGTTGCCGTGCGAGATCATAACAGCCTTCGGGGTCGACGTGGAGCCCGAGCTGTACTGTAAGAACGCCACATCATCGTGCGTCAGCGACAGTGCATCTTCCTCGTCGTACTGCGCGACGAGCGAGTCCGGTAGACTGTCCGTTGTGATCCACTGCATGTGAGCTGGCCACGACGTACTCGCCGTAGAAAAAAATCCTTCACGGTAGCGATCTTGCTCGCAAGATGGTACGTCGTGTTGGTCAGCACAATCGAAGCACCAGAGTCTCCAACAAGGCGATTAAACTTTGGTAAGTCTTTTGCCAACGTGTTAGGATACGGAGGGTACACCGGAATACCCACAACGCCAGCATAGAGACAGCCCCAGAAGGCCAGCGCAAAGTCCAACCCTGGAGGATAGCACAGTACCACTCGGTCTCCCATACTGGCACGCGCATTGCGCTGCAGCGCGGCGGCAACCTTACGCGCTGCTCGATCGACATCGTCAAAGCTCAAGTTAATTGTCTCACGACCTCGGTCGTCCAGAAAAGTGTACACGATCTTGTGACGCCACTTGTCCGACGTTGCCCGACGCTTGAGTTCTGCGACCACTGGCTCCATGTCAACTGTCACGCCATTGGCGACAACCACCGGGTGCTCAACAGCTGTACAGCGCTTCTTCTTCTTCCGTGGTTGCAAAGCTCCCGACTCCTGCTCTTCTCCCTCGGGCTCCTCACGTTTCCGCTTAGTGTGTTGCACACCAATAGCTGCTGCAGACACTACGGCAGCAAGTGACGCTGCTGCTGCCGCCAGTACTTCGATCGTCACGCCATTTAAAGCGTTCATGACGGGCCAAGTCGGTGGAGGAGCTCGTCGATCGCGTGGGTGGTTCAAATCGCTGTGGTCTTGCCGAGGTGATAGAATTTTCGCCAATCAAAAGACGACAATCGGTCTGCACCCCCCCCCCCCCCCGAGAATCGCACGGTCGAAAAAAACGATTCCTTTTTTCTCGAAACGCGGCAAAATGGCGACTTATTGAGTCTTCTGTGGTTCGTGGTGACTAGTCCTTCTTTAATTTATAGAGCGACTGGCGAACGCGGCGAGACAGAAAAAGCGAATTGAAGGTCTCCTGACATCTCAGTAAGGCGGTGTCGAAGCGCTGATGACAGTCGCACAATGCAGACTTGTGCAAGAGCGACAACGCGGCTTTTGTTTCTCTCTACAAATATTTTACAGCGTCTACTTCTTCTTCTTTCTCGTCCATTCGTTGGCCGAATCAGAGCTAAGGAACGGGTCAGTGCTCGCTCGGATGAGGTAGTCACGCAGAACACACGAGCTGGTCGATGTCTCGTGGGTATCGTCGACCCACTGCAACAGTAGTCTGAATTACGCTTTCTAGAAGCTGCAGCAATGATGGAAACTCTACGACGTCCGATTGTGCATCTTAGTCTGCCTTGACCTCTTTTCTCAGGCCTCTGACGAAGCATTGGCGACAGCGCCAGCACGCAAATACAGGTTTACCGCCTTTTGGACAGCGCGCTGACTTCTTTGGCCTTTCTCTAGTGATTGCATCCTATCTGCAAGCATGCCTGCGTGCCTATCAGCGATTGGCTTTTCGATATGATCTACATCGAACTGCCACTGCGTGTAGACGGCAAGCTCGTGCAAAAGGTGCCTGGTGTAGCAGCCTGATACTTGCTCCAAGACGTTGCCATCACAAACAACTTCATCATACTTGTAGCCATCACTACAGGCGCTACTTCGTGTAATTGAGCACGGCGCTGTGGTGTGCGTCCATCCTCGACATTATTTGTGTGCTCACGGGCGGGAGCCGATTATGTCGCGAACGTATCCGACCGAAGGATGTATTCTTGTCTTGCATTCAAATATCACAAACGCCTGCTCGCCCTAGCTTTGAAAATGCTGATGCAGCGCCTTGACACTATCGGTTAAAGTGTAGTAGTGCACTTGGTGCAAAGTAGGTGAAAGTAAAAGTAAAATATATTGAGTGTTTAGCATGACCTTCCTCAACACTACGATATGTATGACCAGACAAAACGAAACTGCAACTTGACTATAACAAGTCACATAAGACGTCCGTCTCTCGCAGTCCCATGTGTCACCCTGTCACATGGCGACCGTCTCTCGTGGTCCCATGTGTCACCCTGTCACGTGGCGACCAGCCAATCAGGTGACACCGTACCATGGTATCGTACTTGAGCCTAGAAACCTGTCAAATACGATAGTTTCTAACACTCCTCCTCGATGTTAGCCTGTTGTGGCCTTCAACTTGAGCATGGCTCTCAACTCTTCCATCCTGAGTGCCGGCAACGACTTCGTCAGTATGTCGGCCACCATGTCCTCTGAACGCACGAATCGAGGCACCACAGTCCCTTCCTGGGTGTGATGACAAATGAACTTGAAACGTATGTCTACGTGCTTGGCGCTCGAGGTACTTTTCTCTTATTCGAGATGTTTGATCGCCGCTTGATTGTCGATCCACATCGGCATCGGCTCACGCACTTGTAGCTTCAGCTCGCATAGCAGTTCCTTCGTGCCAAGCAACTCCCGGCCAGCTTGTGAGGCAGAGATAAACTCGGCTTCCATCGTGCTCAACGATACGCCTGATTGCTTCTTGCACAACAAAAGAATCACAGCACCATTCACAGTCAGTACACATCCCGAGATTGACTTACGATCGGCCTTATCCGCAGCGAAGTCAGCGTCGCTCCAGCATTCGACCCGAATATCTTCTGATGTAAGCCCATCACCGTCCAAGTGCAGCTTCAAACTCTTGGACATCTTTAGATATCGCAAGATGCGCTTCGCGGTCTTCCAATATCGGAGAGTCGGCTTGTGCGTTCTCCTTGTCGCCTTGTGCACGGCAAAGCAGATGTCTGGACGCGTGCATCTCGCTATCCATAGCAGACTACCCACCAGTGACTGAAATGACTTCATACTCGGGTCGCCTTTCGCTCCTCGTGCTGGTAAGTACGCAGCGTCGTCTTCGGCGTCCATGTTGCACTCGTCTCCGATAGGTGTGCGTACTCCGTTCGACGACTCCATACCGAAGTCTCTCAACAGCAAATCGATTGTCGGTTCTTGGTCCAGGACGTAGCCACTTGGACCGTCAAGTTCAATCCGTAGTCCAAGGAATTTGTTCACAATTCCCAGATCCTTAATGGATAGAGAGGCCATGTCCTTGAAAAACTCGTCGACAGCACTTTGTCTAGTGCCTGTGACCAACAGGTCGTCCACGTTAACACCAACCACCGTGCATATCTTGCCCTTGTACTTGAAATACAAGCACATGTCCGTGGTACATTGCTGATACCCACTTTCTCGTAGCTTGGAGTCAAGTAATTTGCTCCATAGTCGTCCAGCTTGTTTAAGTCCGTACAGCGATTTTTTCAGCAACAATGCTAGGTCGTTTGGGGTCTTCACATTCAGGTCCTTCATCTCTTTTTCCTTCACTGCCATCCCCTTCGGCACCTTCATGTAAATGTCCAGGTGCTCCTCCTTTTCAGCCTTGACGTACGCATTCGGTACATCACCATGACGAGCTGGCACGTTCCAGCGTCTCGAGAGTACCAGGATCAGCTTTACCGTGCCCAGATCCATGACCGCTGCGAACGTGAGAGTATAGTCTACTCCGAACACTTGTTCGTTCCCGCAGACGACCAGGCGAGCCTTGTATCGCTCGATGTCCCCGTTTGCGTCGGTCTTCGACTTGTAGACCCACTTGTTGTGCAGGACATGTTCACCCTTAGGCGGCACTACAACCGTCCAAACATCGTTTGACTACAAAGCATCCAGCTCTTCGTTCATAGCGACTTGCCACTGTTCACGGTGGTCACTGTTGATGGCTTCGCCATAGTGCTTCGGGTATTGTACAATGACCGCATTTACGACGTCGTGCCGGTCAACAGGTTGTTCAGTTGAGGTTTCTTTAATCTCTCGCTTGATCGTGGCCCTTGTACGATGTTGATCCTTCGTCCAAACCGACCGTCGTCCTTTGTGATTCTTCGCAAGTCGTTTCTTGGTGTTTCGTTGTCGTATCGTGTCCGTCCGACAGTCCAAACGTGACTCCTCCTGACGGTCGGCTCCGTTCAGGTCGGGTCCGAGTTCCGCGTCTCGAACATCCTTTGGAGCTTCGATGTTCCGAACGTGTTGCCTCACTGCAATTACCTTGTCCTTGGGGATGTACACCATGTATCCCTTCGTCTCAGCACCCTTTTCAATGATAATGCCTGCTTTACCACGTTCTCCGAGTGATTTATTCTTGGCGTCGACGTGCACCGTGCATGTCGATCCGAAGGCGACGATGTCGTTAAGCGCAGGCACCTTGTTCGTAAGAATCTCCATTGGAGACGCTCCTCGTAGGTTGGCCTTGGTCCTACTTCGATTCAGTATGTATGACGCGTACTCGGCAGCGTCACCCCAGAATGTCTTAGGTAAGTTTGAAGCGAACAGCATGCTTCGAACCATATTCATGATGGTTCGATGCATCCGCTCAGCCTTTCCATTACTGGCTTGGTTTCGAGCCTCGCTCACTTGACGGGATCACACCAGTTGTCAAGCAAAATCCATCCAGGGTCTTGTATTCACCTCCCCCGTCCGTGCGCAGTACGTGGACCTTGCAGTTAAACTCACGCTCGAAGCTCACCAAGAAGTGCTTGAACTTGAGGGCGGCAGCATCCTTGGTCTTGGCCAAAAAAAATGCGACAATAATTTGATCTGTGGTCGATGAAGTTGACCAGAAAGCGATTCCCCAAGCGATCACGCGGGGTCATCGGACCTTTGAGGTCGGAGCATATCACTCCTCCTATCACGTCGATAGGGGAGTTGGCTCCCGTATCCTTCCTTGACTGTGTCACTTTGCTCCTGTTTTCCTTGAGCACAAGCCATGCTACTTCGCACGTCTCGTATCCGTCAGCCTTATGCCCGAGCCTGGGTCTTTGGCCATCTTGACAATAGGTTTCAACACATAGGTGCCCCAGTCGGCGATGAAATTGCATCAAGGTACCACACTGAACATCCGAGTCGGATTCATATTCAGGTGAATTGAGAACCGCCATCGTCCCCTCTTGTGGTGTGTCAATAATGCCCTTCCTAAGGTGTTTCACTGCAATGACCAGTACGTTGTTGCACCGCTCCACATCCATTACTGGGACACCACCAATTCCTGAGGTCAACACGCGCTTCCCTCCCCGGTACTCCAGTACGCAACCCTTAGCTTCAAGCTTTCCATAGGAGAGTATGTTCCTCTCGAGGTTTTCCGCGTATTGCACATCGAGGAGCGTCACCGAATTCATCACTCCAAGTGCGAGGACTTTAATCTTAACAATGCCTTGATGGGTGATCCGCAGCACACTTCCATCGGAGGCTGCGGTCAGACATTCCCTTTGGCTAGGAGTCGAGTCGATGAGGAGGCTGAGATCGCTAACCAAATGACGGCTAGATCTAGTGTCGAGTATCCACTGACTCTCATGTATACCCGTGCTGCCGTCAATTGTGAAGACGAAGTTCGATCTCGGGTTCTTTTTCTTCCTTTGCTGAGGACACATCACCCTGATATGTCCTACTTCTCCGCAAAGGTGACATGATCGATTGTCACTTCGCTCTTGGCTCTTGTGTTTGAGCTTCGCCTTCACATCTTTTAAAGCTTCCACGACGTTGACGACGTCCCGTCCGAGGTTCTTGGCGTGCGTGTCCACCTCAGTAGACTGCGCAAATTGCGCCAAATCCTCAGCTTGACGTAGATGGTCCACTCGGTGAATGTTTAACCTGGACAACATTGTCGTGCGCATCTGCGGATCGGCATAGTGTACAATGTTGTCCAGCAC